GGCCTTGGCTCCCTGGGGCTTGCAGCCCCACCCGCCCCTGCTCTATAAAGTCAGAATGAGGTCAGGAGCCAAGGAGGGCCCTCATCCACCCCTGTCCGCCCACCTTGGCCCAGACTGGAGCCCAGGTGCCCCACCCTAGAGGGAGCTGTCAGGTGTGGTCATGGATGCTTTCAAGTGTGGCCCTGCCAGGCCCAGCCACGCTCTGGGTGGGGGCTGCCTACCTGGCTGCCGGCACTTCGTAAACACAAGTTCCTTTCATGGCTCCCTTCATCTTGCTTGAAACCAGGTGGGGAGGATCCATTCCTACCGCCCCAGCCAGGGGAAGTTGTGCAACCCAAGGTGCAGCAACCTCATCGCTCTGCTCACGGCAGGTGGGAGAGGCAGAACAGAGAATTCACATCCATCTTCAGAGGACCAGTTCTTGAGGGACTTTTAAGTCACTCTGCCAGTCACAAGGGAAGGGACATGAATGGCTCTGGGTCATGGTAATAGGGGGTGGGGTGTGGGAAAAACTGGGTTTTGGGGTCAGACAAGGCTGGACTTGAATCTGGGTGCTGCTGTTCCCTGGCCTGGTGACCTCTCTGAGCCCATGTCACCATCTGCAGAATGTGGCAGGGTTGTGGTGAATCTAAAATGCAATAATGCACTCAAAGTGCCTGGTGCTCAATACAGTTAATCGTTATTAAGGAGGTCCTTAATTTTGGATATCGAAACTTAGACTAATGAGAATTATCCAGTTGCATGCATTTCAGTGCATTCAAGTATCTTATCAGAATCCCATTATTGAGATGAGAAAACTGAGAGTCAGAGTAGCTCAAGTTCACAAAGCTGGTAAGAGGGTGGTAAAGATTGGAACTCAGACCCCCTGACTCTCTGTCTGGTGGGGGAGAGACTTCCCAGACAGTCCAGGGAGGGCTGCGGGATGTGGACTTCTGGGAGTATGTAAAGTGTGAAGCTAAGGGTTGCCCGTCTGGACAGGGAGGATTGAGACAGACTCTCTGGGGTCCTTCCAGCTCTGACCAGGTGCTCTTCCTCCAGGAGACTGCACCCTGAAACCAGGCACAGGGCTTGGCAAGAGGAGCAAAGGCTGGATGTCAGCCCTCACTTGCCCACCTGCCCAAATGTTCTTTGATAGTCTTTTGCCCTAGCATTCTAGGCACTGAGCTGTCAGAGGTAGTTTTTCTGAGATTAAGAGAACAACTGACTCCACCCCCAGGGATTTCCCAGAAGCTAATGGGGGAGGCAGGGCAATGGGGAGGGGAGGTGGGCACTCAGGGTCTGAGATTCTTTAGTTAGAGGGGCCCCTCCCCTCATCCCTGGCCCCAGAGTCTGGGGTACTCTGTAGCAGTTCAAAGACCAGCCTCCTAGCCTGGCACTGTGCCCGAGACCTTGGCCACACTAGCCACACCCTTGGTTGGCCTTTGCCAACTGTGGCTTAGCCAGCCCCTCCTACTCTGGCTCAGCCTCAGAGAAAGTTCGAGAGTCTTCAGGCAGCTGCTCAAGCTCCCTGGAGAAGTCTGACAGATGACACATTGCAGATTGCGTTGGTTGCTGGGCCTGCTGGGAAATGAAAATGTGGGCAGTGGTAATTCGAACTCTTAGGAGTGGGAGGCACTACATCTTTCTGGAAGCATCTAGACACTGCCCTTCTAGGAGTCCAGTTCCAAAAACCTATTTCCAGCTTGCCCACCCACTAGGCCTCTGGCTTCTGGCTGACCTTCAGATCACCTCACCTCCATCATCCCAGAATGGTTGCCAGGGAGGGGCCAGGTGGGAGGGGACCCTTCCTCTGGCCTCTCCCACCCCTGCAGCAGAAAGAATCTGTTTTAGCTTGGGAGTCTGGGGATCTACATGTCTCTGACTCTGTGACCTTGGCCAGTGGCCGGCTCCCATGACTCATTTTCTTCATCTGTACAATGAGCCGACTGGACTCCTTCCAGTGCCATGAATCAACAGTTTTTCCTCCACTCTTCCCCCTTCCTCCAGGCCCCCTAATGCTGCCGAGGCGATGTGCATATGGTGATCAGAGGGAGTGGATGAGGGAGGACATGGAGATGTGGTGTCCCCTGTGGTGGCTGTGGAGGTGGGAGGCCCTCCCTTAGGCTCATGTCTTAGGTGTCCTGAGGGCCTTTCTCAGGGGGTAGGGGGCCTGGAGAAGGAAGAGCAGGTACCTGGTGTTAGGACCAGTTTGCTGAATACACCTTCAGCTGAGAGAGGCTGGTGAGAGGCCAGAGGGCTTCCAAGAGCACCTCGGTGAGGCAAGGGATGGCGGATGCCAGCCGGGACACCCAAACTGGGCATGCGCACTCGTGACTTGCTGTTGTGGGTCTGCGGCTGAAGGAAACCAATTAAGGAAATAGGACACAGGAAAGCCCTGTCCAGCCTCCCGGCTGCTGCGTATGTTGGGAGGGGAAAGATGCGGGTGGTCCCTGTAGCCCCCATCTGCGGAGACAGAGATCAGGAGAGGACTTACGGCATCCCAAAGGTCCACATCCTGAAACGGTTCCCCACTCCCATCTATTCTCCCTCTTCTTGTTACCATTGCAGAATTGGAGTTTCCTGTTTTCTTGCCTGCCTTCCTGGCGGTATTTTTCCCTTTTCCCAAGGTACTGAGCAGAGGCTGAACCTTCAGTCCATGGGAGTTACAGGGGCTTGGTACCCTAGTACCCTCCCCGTCTTTCCCCAGGGAACTCACGTTGCTTCCCCAAATAGCCAGGGAGGGCACTGAGGACAAGAGCTCCAGGATTCCAGGCTGACATGGACCCTCCCCCAGGGCTCTCTCCTCTCCCGCCAGGCCAGTGTGTGCCCCTCCTGCCTAATAACAACTGGCAGTTTTTCCTCTCTCTCTATCGCCCTCTAGTGTCTTCCTGAAGCCACCACACCTTGCCTTTGCGCCCCACCTTTCCCCAAGGGTTCTGGAACTATTCATTCCCTGGCTTTCTCATTCACTCATTTACTCATTCGACAAACATTTTAAAGATGCCTATTTTAGGGTGGCAGAGACCAATATGGCATGGCCTGGGCTCAGAAACTCACAGATTTAGGGAGAGACTTGCCAACAAACAACTGGAACAAGAGCTTAAGGCCCTAACGGCAGGAACAGACCCAGCACCGGAAGAAACCAGAAGCAGGAGTGGCCACCACAGCTGGGGACCAGAAGGCTCTTGGGGGTAGAAAGGAGCTGAGCTGGGCCTTGTACCATGAGTTCACCTGAACCTGTGGAGGTGGAAGGGGCATGCCTGCGAGACCTAGGGAGGAGGGTCATCTGGATTGGGATATACTGGAGTCAAAGGGCAGTGGTGGGAGAGGAGGTTGGAAGGCTGGCGGGAGGAAAGGCTGGCCATTCCAGGTGGAGCCATTTGGAAGGTCTTATGAGCCCTACGAGCTGGTGAACACAGTCATAGGATGCAGGGTCCACAGAGCAGAAAGTTCTGTTTCATCAATTCAATACTGTGTCCTCAGAGCCAGGGGACTGTGTGTGGCACACAGTAGATGTTCAATAAGTATGTGTGGAATGAGTGAATGAAAGGTTGGATTTGCATTTTAGATAGAGCAGGATAGATTGGAGGGGGCAAGATCAAGGCAGCAGGTGGTAGGCATGGGAGGGGTCCTGGTGAGAAGGCCCTGGATTGTTCAATTAGGAATGGAGGCGGGGCAGAAAGAAAGAAGTGGCACCATCTGGGGGCAGCCTGGCTGTAGGGTGCAGGGGGGAAGGCATCAGGCTGAGCAGTGAGGAATGGAATAGGGAAGTGAAGGAGCAGGTATGGGTTGTGTGAGACAGGCTGAATTTCTATGGCCACCTTTGGGTGTTTTTCATGCTCCCTGCTCAGGAGGTGGCATCTCCAGAGCAGGGCCAGTGTGTACTCCTTACAGCTCAAACTGCTTGCTTGAGGCTCAGTTTTGCTGAGCTTGTATAAAGGGTTAAAGAGACACAGGTGCTTCTTTGAACAGCTTCCTCAGATCAGAAACAAAGCCACTGGCCAAAGGCCCCTTCAGGTGCTCCTTACAGTTGGAAGAAAAAGGAACTGGAGAGGAGGTCATATGTTGACACAGCCGTAGGCTTCAGGAGGTCCCCTGCTCTGGGAACCAGACCAGACCAAGGACATCTGTACCGTGGCTCATGCAAACCGGAGCCAGGGACATGTCAGCTGCTCCCTCAACAGAAGCGGACCAGTATTCTTAACCTGTGGACCTTAAAGGCTTCAGAGTATCTGTGAGCTCTGAAATTGTATGCCAAATCAGGGGCATGTGCACATCTTCTGGGGAAAGGGTTCCCAATCTTCATCAGATTCTCAAAGAGCAGTTGATTCAAAACATGGTTAAAAACCATTCTAAGAGAGAAGAAGAAATTTTTTTTTTTTTTTTTGGTATCTGTTTAGATATATATAAAGGAAAGAAATACAATTGAGTAACTGTTTAAAAAAAAAAAAAAAGACCCCACCACTTTAAACTCTCCCTTTCCAGGCCCCATCCTTGTGCCCAGCCAGGGCCGGATACCTGCTATTTTCCTTAAGTGGCCATGTATGGAATACTCACTCTTTGCCAGTTCTGGTGCTTAGTGCTTTCAGGACAGTATTTCCTTTCTGCTGCCTCTCAGCCCTGCATGTCACACAGCTGGGAAGAGTAGGAGACTGGATTCACAGCCACGTGATGCTCTAAGCTATGTTCTAGTTGTTCTGGAACATTGCACCTATAGGGAGGGGCCTGCGTGTCCGCCCAGTGCCTCCTCTCTCTTCTCCACCCCCATCCACTGCTGAAGCTAGTGGGGTTGTGGGAGTTGGGGGGAGTGGGAGTGGTCTTCTTGGGTCCCTGTTTTCCTTCCCACAGAGCTGCAGTCTCTTCAGACTCATGCATGGAAGTTGAAGGATGGGGGAAATGGATGGATGTGTTGGGCTCTGGTTCCTGAGGAGTCTAAGTCTCTCCCATTTCTCAGAGGGAAGGACTCCAGGACCCCATGCCTTCCCCACACTCCCCAGGTACCCAAATCCACAGAGGCCAGGTCTCACCAACTGCCATCCTGGCACCGAGTATTTTATTAGAGTCCAAGTTTTATCCGCACCGCGGAGAAAGAGGGAGGAGGAAATAGAGAGGGGGAACCCGGACCAGACCCCAGACCCCTCCCTCCACTGGAGCCCAGGGCATCTGCCCTGTTGGGCCAAGGAAGACTTCATGAGATCCCTGAGGGCCCCAGGAGGAGGGGGCTGGGAGCAGCAGAGGAGGGCTGGAGGCTACTGCTTCCCATTGATGCCTCAGGTCAAGGCCCTCAGTCTAGATCCTACCCTTTCTCCCAAGGGCTGTAGCACCCTTCTCTGGGAAGCCTTGGCTGACTACCTCCCTATCAAACCCTGAGGAGGAAGTTCTCCCTTGGGCAAGCCTGAAGCACATGTTATCCTAGGCCTCTGACCCCGTGCTGCCATCTGGCCCATGTCTCAGACAAGGGGCACTCGGGTACACCTGGGCCTGCTTAGTCATCGGGCTGCATTGCTTCTTCCTTTTCTCATAGGCTCCTCTTCCAGCCTTTCTCTCTTCCACCACCCTACCTGGACCCCTTTTGATCTTAGGGTCAGATGCAGTTGTGGTCTGTTTTGTCCCACCTCTTGTCATGCAGAAGGCCTGGCTGTTGTGGCCTTAGCCCAGGGCATGGGGTGAGGGCTGGAGAAGAGGGTCTAACCTGAAGAAGAGAGGTGGGACCAAGACTGAGATCCCTGACTCTCAGGTTGGGGCTTAGGGGCCCACCTACTCTGGCACTCCTGGGCCAGGGGAGGGGTTTAGGGAGGCTGTGGGGCCAGCCTCCAGCCCTCAGCCAGGGTCCTCCTGCAGCCAGCTCAGAAGGAAACAGCTCCCCAGCCTGGATGGTTGTGCACCAAGGGTTAGGCTATTCTTTCTTCTAACTTAGATTCTGCTTGCTGTCCTACCTCCTTGTCCGCCCAGTGATAGAGAGGAGCCAAGGGCCCTGCAGAGTGGGTAAGGGAGGCTCCTAGAACTGGTACCTTCAGAGGTGTCCCTGGGTCCATTGAGCTGAGGTCTCCAGCCTAGTGCATTAAGCAGGAAGGAGGGCAGGGCGATCCCTGTGTTCAAAAGGCTCTTTGTTCCCTGTGTACAGTGGGCTGGCAGGAGGTGGGGGTAGGGACCCTCTAGAAGCAGCAGAACCCAGCTCCTCCTTGTCTACGGGCGCCCACCCTCAAGGTCTTCCCTGGGCCTGGGACCTCTTTGTAGTAGTGGGGTGAAGGCTCCCCCATGAGTCCTGGGGCCTGACCCCTCGCCTCTTACTGTGCCAGTGGGCACCAAGCTGGGACTGTCTGGGCTCAGAAGCCCCCACTTTCTGAGCTGCTTCTGCTGTGGTAGCTGGGACTGGGGGTCTGGGAGGGGCTGCATGTGCGGCTTCGGGTCCCGCGACTGCGACTGCTGTAGCTTCCGTGACTGTGGCCCGGGCTGGGGCTGCGGCTGGGGCTCCGGCTTGAGTAGTCACTGCTCAGGCAGCTGGAGGAGGATGAGGGGCTGGGCCGGTAGTAGGGGATGGGCCGCTTTCGGGCACTGCCGGGAGGGAAAAGCTGATTACAGGCCATCCAGGGCCCTGAGCTCTGCCCATCTTGGGCCCTCACTCAGGCTCCAAGCCCCTCCACAGCAGTGGCCAGGGCTTCCCTGCCTCAGATGCCCCTGAGCCCTGACCTTGGAGTGCCCCCGCCTCCCCCGCTCCAACAGGATTGGACAATTAGTGGTCACTTGCCAATTTCATGTTGATCATTTTGTTTTTCCTCGCTTGTCTGCAGGGAAAGGGGGCTGAATCTCAGCTTGACCTGAGTAGGTGCTCAATAAATATTTGTTGAATGAATGAAACTTTTAAATATAGACAATTCACACCAACAAAGTTAAGCAGCAGCTTCTATGCATGGAAGTGTTTGTGGATATGACCCAGCCCTGCTCCTCTATTTCCAACAGAATCGAGGGTTTTGGTTTTTCAGGTCAAATTAAAGGAACAAGGAAAAGACCCCTGGCCACTGCTACCCATGCCCACAGCCCAGCCCAGGCCCCACTGTCCCCCTCTCCTTACTCAGCTACCTCCCGCCAGCCCCTGAGTTAGTTTGAAGCCAGAAGGCTGTGACCAAGAAAAAAGAAGAGAGTAGTTAAGGAGGCGACAATGCCCCCATCACGTGGGGTTAATTCTGAGGAAGAAAACAAGTGTACGTTAGTGGAAGGAGGAGGAGGCAGCCTGGGAGAGGGGCTGAGGTGGGTGCCAGGTAGGGTGTGTGGGGGTCGGCCATCTTAGGACCCACTGGCATTTGGGTGGGCTGTGTGACTTGTCTGGGGGTGGGTGTTCCAAGTCTGGCAGTCTGGCCTCTAGCTCTGGGGTGAGGGGAGGAGGCAATGCTATCATCAAGGGCTAGGAAGGGCCAGTTTGAGAATCAGACCATCAGTCTAAAACTGAACTCCATATCCTCATATAAGAGCTGAAAAGATGCTCAGGGAGGTCTGCTTATTGCTCAGATGTGAGAACCGAGACCCAGAGAGGCCCACTGATCTCCCAGCAAGATGGTGGCAGAGCTGGGTTCAGAATTTTGGCTGTGGCCCTCTACCCCATGTCAGGGGTAGAAATGGGGTGATTTCTGCAAACACAGACCATCGGCTCACCTGGAGACCCAGGCCCAGACCCTCCAGTCCTGGCAGAGAAACTCTGATCATGGCACAGCGCCACTGAACTGCGTGGGGAAAGTGGGAGGGACTGATTCCTCCCACAGCTGCCCCAGAGACCAAGCTGCTGGTGCCCCCTCCTCCAAATTCCCCAGGGGCTGGGAGGTGAGCAGTGAGGTTAGTGAGAAAAGGAGAGGCAGACAGACAGCTGAACAGAGCCAGATCAGCTCACATGGGCATCTCCCCTGCAGCCTGTGGAGAGGGGGTCCAGTTGGCCCCCAGGCTGGCCATAGGCCACTCAGCAGGCTGGACCTTGAGATGAAGGAGAAAAGGAGACATCATTGCCAGGAGATGAATGGGGAGGTAAGAAGGGAGGGAGGGGATCCAGGAGGGATGGCTGGAATCTTCTAGAGCTTAATTCCACGTTTGCAGCTTACCACCCAGATCCAAGTACAGATTGTCCTCTCCTCCATGGGCCTTCAGGCCCTCACCGGATCATTCCCTTCTTGAGGCCTCCCTGACCTCAGTGAACCTCTCCCTCTGTCTCTGAGTCCCACCCCCGTTCCAGCACCACTAGTTTTAGCCCCTCTCCTCTGTGAGCCCTCTTCCTTTCACTGAACCCCCACCTCCTCTCCTTGAGCCTCCACCTCTCCCTGCACCAGGTTCGGTCGGCAGCCCCAGGAGGTTCCAGGGGCCCTCACCCCCAGGTCCCTGCAGCTAGTCCCCGGCCCCTCCATACCTGGTGATGCGCCGCGGCTCCATGAAGCTGGGCGAATCCCGGCGCCGCTTGCGAATGGGCGAATAGCTGCGGGAGCGGCGCCGGGCGCGGGCAGCTTCGGCCTCAACGTGCCTGGCGCGGCCTTCGCCGTCCTTGTCCCTGTGGGGCCCGGGCCCGAGGTGAGCGTGGCGGCCCGCCGCCCTGCCCGGTCCCGCCGCCTCCGCCTCACGAGGGCGTCCCAGGCCCGCCCTCTCCCTGGGCCCCACGCACACCTCCTTTCCTCAGGCGCCCGGCGGTCCTCACTTACCGGCCCAGGGTTTTCTTGGGCGACGGCGAGCGGCTGGGGCTGCGGGCCCTCTTCTCCACGGAGCGCGAACGGGATTTGGAGGGCGAGCGGCTAGATTGGGGGCCCGGGCTGCGCGACGAGCTCTTCCCCTCCGGGCCGCCGTGCCGGCCGTGCGCGCCCGGGGACGGGGAGGTGCTGGCCTGCCGGGCGCGCGGGGGCCGCTCCTTGGCCCTAGAGGAGGGGCACGGCGACAGAGGGCTCAGCGGAGGAGGAAGTGGGCTTCGTGGAAGGAAGGGACGGAGTGAGGGGAGAGAGCGGGGGCCGGGTGACAGGGTCGTTCTTCAGCTAGGAAGAAAGTGAGCTCCGTGGAGGGGCAAGGTGGGGCTTCTCAGCTAGGGAGAAGCTGGCTCAGTGGAGAGGAAGGGACTCAGTAGGCGGAAGGGCTCTAAGGAGGAGGAGTTCATGGAGGAGGGGTGGGTTAGTGAGCAAGAGGAGGTTGTGTGTGAGTTGTGGGGGAAGGTTGGCGGGGGATGCTTACCCGAGGAAGGAAGGTGGGAGTAGGGAGAAGAATCAGTGAGGTGGAGGGTGTTTCGTGGTGTCCAGGGAGAGTGATCAGTGAGAGGGGAACCCAAGTGAAGAAGGAGGGTGATCCGTGGTGGGGGGAGGAGAAGGATTGTGGGAGGGGGTTAGAAAGAGAGCTGTGGGGAGAGTATCAGTGTGGGGAACAGAGGGCTCCTCGGGCCGAGGAGGAGTGATCGGTAAGCGGGGAGCTCAGCGAGTGGGGAAGGAGAATGACCAGGGAGAGGAGAGGGATCGGTGGGGTGAAGGTGCTCTGTGGGAGTGCGGGGGAAGTGATCAGGAGGGAGGAAGAGTGATTAGTAAGGGGGGAGCTCTGCAGGGAAGAGTCGGCGAGGGGAGGCGTCGTGAGGAGGGGAGGGCTGTGCATAGTGCGGGGAGGGGAGCCCCGGCTCCCTGGGGCCGCCCGCGCCCGCTCACCGTTTCCCATGCCCGCCGTGGCCTCGCTCT